AGTAATATATTCATTTTTAAATTCTCTAACAGAAAAAGTTCCTTTATTAGTGGTTTTACTTTATGTTTCCCAGTATATAATTTCTGCTGCCAGTTTTATTTACAAATACCTATATTGCACAGAAACAGGTATCAGTAAACTGAATTGATGTGAGCCCTGAAACTCACTGTACTTTATGGGACGTGTGCAAGGCTAACTAAGCACTTCTATTAATGTTGAGAAAGAATCATACTATGCAAGGATTTCTGTGTATATCAGCACTAAGCACTTCCGTTAATATTGGGTAGGCAAGAAAAGATCATACTATGCAAAGACTTAGATGTGTATCAGCACTCATGAAGCCTGTGTGTTGGAGGGGCAAGGAGCGAGAAGTTTATATAGTGTATTTTATATAGTACATTAGAAGTTAAAGGCTCAGTTCTGGGCAATAGATTTGGTTGGAATTCTAATTCTGCCATTTATTAGCTGTTTAACTTTGGAGAAATTATTTAACCACTCTGAGTTTGTTTGCTTGCCTGAGAATGGGATAATAATAATACCTCCAAAGGATTATTTTGAGGATCAACACTGATAATGTTCAATACATTGTCCCATGAAAATAATGATAACTGTTAGTTTATGAAGTTCTGAATCCTAGGAACATGACATTTGTGAAAGGGATGCCATTTGGGATGCCATTCGGGGTGGGCAGTATGAAGCTCTCTTGGGAATTACATGTGAATAGTGCTAGAAGGTTACCAAAATTTAACATTGGTAGATATTTCCAAGATCACCAAAGTGGGTCCTTTTTCCTTCTTTCCTTTTCATGTTTTCCTCCTAACTTGTCACCTCTTTAATTCTTCTCTTAAAGATACGTGGGACACTATAGGAGACCAATCAAAGGTTGCTCGGCTCCATAATTATTTCTAATGGTGCCATCATGAAATGAATTTTATGAGAAAATGATCAACTTGTATTACCCCTCTCACCTCCCATCCCAATTTAATTATTTCTTTCATAAAGGAAAGTATGCCATTCTAGGTGGGAATATTTGTCCAAGTCCTTACTGATACACCTTTTTTTTTTCTCAGTTTCTCTGTGAGTACAAATGTGTTGCTAACTGTAAGGCTGATTCATTCATTCAGTAAGCTCTCAGTGAGCACTTACTGCGTATAGCTCTCTGTGATAAATACAGAGTTAAGACAAAGATGTGTCAAGAGCAGTCCCGGCCTTCAAGGAGCTGGAAATGAGGCTGAAGAGAAAACTACAGACACCAGTTTTGAATGATCATCGAGACCACTGGTGCAAAGCACAGAAGTCTAGGAATTCAGAGGAGATAAGGTTGTGTCCCAGGAGATTATATGGAAGGACAGGTGGGACTTGACAGAGAAAACCGGGGATTGCAATAAGTGGCTGCCGTGGACATCTGCTGTTCCCAATTTCCCAGAATCCTCCATTTTATGTTTTGGTAGCAGCACCTCAGTTTTTCCATCGAGGGACTATGTAAACCTATTTTCGATGGAACTCACAGACTGCTGCACCCTGTCCAGGTTCAGAGGTGAATGCATTGCTCAAGCAAGGACATTCAGAGAAATTTTGCCTGTGATTTAAATTTTGAGCAAAGTGAGCCAAGAAGAGAGCCCTTCAGGACAGTGAGCACCAACCTATGGTATTGCTGCTCGCTCCTTTTGCAAAGACTGTCAGTGAGTTCCTGCTCCCTTGGTACCCTGAGCCACCCTGGGTACTGTCCTCCTTGAGCTTGTGGGTTCATTTTTTCTATTTACTCAGTCCACCCCGTGTCATCCCAATAAATTCTCTTTTTTGGCTCAGTTTAGCTAGAATCAATTCTGTTATATTCAATCAAAGAACTCTAAATGGTAGCTTGAACAAAGACTTAGAGCAGAAAAGGCATGCGTTTGGGTAGTAATGGATAGTCTGTCTGGTTAGCATGTAGAGCACTAAATAGAGAGCTAGTATTTGGAAATAGAGTTGGAAAGGTTGCTTGGGTCTGGAACATGGAGGACCTTTACTGCTAGGCTCAAGTAATCAGATTAAAGCCACATTTTAGGAAGATTAAAATGGGATGGGGGAGGGGAGTGGAGACAGGGAGACCAGGCTAGTCCATAGCATTAGTCTCTGTAAATGCTTGCACTGACTTAAATTATTTATTCAATTTAACAATCATTTTTCAAGAACTGATTATATGCCATGCTCTGTGCTGGATATTAGGACTATTAAGATGATTAAGACATGATTTGTAAGCTAGAAGGTAACTCAGACCAGTAAATGTGAGATAAATTATTCGGGTTAGATAAAAGTTATAGGTGCTTTATGTAAGTGAAAGTGGTTAACATTTTGTTGGGTTCGAAAGGCTTCACAGAAGTAGTGATTTCTAAGGAGAGTCTTGAATAACAGTTTGCCAGGTGGTCATAAGTATTAGGATTGATGGTGTGGAGTCCTGGCAGTATATCAGGATTAGAGATAAAAATTTGGGATCATAAATAGATAATCTGATTGTGAAAAAAAAAAAAAAAAAGGCTGGGGGGGGGGAAGCGGATGAAAATGCCCAGGGACATAGATGATAATCATAAGAGAAAATAAACAAGCACAGAACTCTGAGGAACTCCAGCCATTAAAGGATGGGCTGATAAAAAGAATGCCAAGCAGAGGATGCTGAGATGTAAGTGAGTGTTTAGGAGAATCACAGAGTCGGGATGTCTTGGAAGCCAGGAGTGGAGAAAGTGACAGGATGGGAGGAGCAGAATGTCAGATGACACAAGATTAAATAAAAATAGGACCAAGGAATGTCCATTAGTTTGGGAAAAGGAAAGGTCTTTAGTCATAGTGAGTCATTTCAGTGGAATCGTGGTGTTGGGGCGAGATTATAGGGAGGAACGAGGGAGGAAGAAGAGAGAAGCGAGGAAGGGAAATGCGACTAGACAGAGGGAGAGAAATGTTAGCGACAAAGGGGACTCCAAGTCAAGGGAGGCTGCTTTCTTTGTTTGGCTTTGTTAATGAGGAAACCTGGTGTGTATTAGCCCTGGAGGCCATGGGTGGACTGTCCTGACAACTATGCACCTTAAAGAAAACAAAATGTTCCTTAGTATATGTAAATATATAACTTCACTCTTGGTCCAAGATGAGCTTATCTTGTTTTCTGCTGTATCACAAAAATTTAGTGTGGTTTTACTTTAACTTGTGGAGTTGTTAGATGGATTAACATGTGCTGGAAGCAAATAAATTTGGTGTCATATAATATAAGTTTAATTTGGCCATAGGGAGGTTTAACTTTTTCAAAGAGGGAAAATAAAGTGGAATTTTAATTCCAAATGTGCACTTTTCTTACGCAGAAATATTTAGAATACACACAAAACATCTTGTGTGATAGCTGCCCCCAAAGGGCAAGGATTTGGGGTTAACTGAACCTAATTATTATTCTACTAAAGATGTCCCACTTAGTGTTGACTATCTGAAGGGCTAGTCAGCGAATAGGTGTTCTACCCATTTCAAGCTTCATAACTTTTCAAGTCTGTTGTTTTAGTCAGTCAGCAATGATTAGATTATACATCACAGAAACCCAGCTTTAAATACAGACAAAGAAATTTGTTGATTTAATAAATCTAACCATGATGAAGTTAAGCAAAAATGTGTTTCAGAGTTATCTAGAACCAGATACTAATTAACAAACTAAATCTATCTAATTTATTTTATCTATCTATCTATCTATCTATCTATCTATCTATCTATCTATCTATCTATCTATCTTCCTACTAGTTTTGTTTCTTTCTAAACAGTAGGCTTCATTCTCAACCATTGCAAATTGGCTTTCTAGGACTGGATGCCAAAAGCTTCTAAACTCTTGTTCTCATCATTTTATCAAGATAGAGGAAAAGACTTTCCCATTGCTCCAGGACTTTGATTGGTAGGCTTGGGTCATATGCCCACCCCACCCCCCAGACCAACGTGGCCGGAGAGACGGAGCTACTGGAATCAGTCCAGCTAGGATAAGAAGCCCATCCTTTGCCAAGTCACTGTGATAGAGAGGCAGGGTCAGAGAAGGATAGAGCATCTCCCATCGACCTGCCTGATGAAGGAGAGAGCCTCAAAAGAGTTGGAGTTAATGCCTGAAAAAAGAGTGCTAGGCAGAGAAAACTATAAATGTTTAATAAATTTGGTTAGCATGAAACTGAAGTACAGTCTCTGAACGCATGGGCTGATTGATTTAGAATGGGAATAGGGGAAAGTTTTTAAAAAATATCTGGCAGGATATGTCTCTCCCAGACCAGAAAAGGGAATTCCAGTTAGGTTATAACTTGATTTTGGTAGACTTTGAATTAACCACATACAGAGACTTAGCACTTCACATTTTAAAAGTAATTTCACCTGCATCAGCTTATTTGAGCTAAAATTAACCCAGTGGGTATTTTTAATCTTCATTTTTGAGAGGACAGACAGTGTCAGAAAAAAACTGTTTCCTACTCAGGATTTCATAACCAATGAGTCGGCAGTGACTTTGGGTTTGGAATCAGCAGGCCTGACTTCAACTATTTTTTCCAGTACATCCAATTCTTAATGTTAATGAAAGTATAGATTTTTAAAGGATTATAAGATCTTGCCCACTTTTAGGAATTGTTTTTTCTATGACTTTTAAATCGTATTTGTAAATCAGTTATTCCTAATTTATTAAAGTTAAGACTTTACAGATTCCTCATGCCACCCCCCGAATCTGCTGTTGTTGACACAGTCTCTTCTAAGGAACAAAATAATTTTTGGTTTCTCTTTAAAATGTTATGGCATCTCTTAATAACTAGGTATTTTAGAAGATTTATATTTCCAGATCACCGAGAATTAGTGGCTTAGATTGGTTTGTAACCCACCAAAGGATGAGATGGTCATTTGCTTGACATAGTAATTCTCTAATCCGATTAACCAGAAATGAAAAAAGGTATCAAAAATAGAAGTTTTTAGATATTAAACTTATTTGTATCCTTAGCAATTCCTTGTACTATTATTTGTTTCAGATGAGAAGAAACAGATGGTTGCAAATGTGGAGAAACAGCTTGAAGAAGCAAAAGAACTGGTAGGTACAGACTTGGTAATATATTTTAAAGGACACAACAGAGTCGTTTAAGCCGATGCCTTCCTCTGGCCTGTTTTATACGTTGTAGAAATGTGAAACATGACTGATCGGCATTTTATAATTTGGAATTCATCCATTTTTAAATTGAAGAGAATTTAATAGTTCCTTGGGATTTTATTCTTAGTAAAGGTGATTCATTAAATGTCCACTTCTAATTTTTATTCCTTAATAATACTTTTTATAATAGCTATAAATGGCTAATGCTTGTTAAAGGCATACTGGGTACCAGACCCTGGGTTAAGCATATTACTTGCTTTATAATATTAATTTTCATAAAAACTCTGTGAAACAAGTACTATTTATCAAAAACTGTTAAGGATCTGAGATTTTCCCCTACTTGCTCACTAATAAGTGAGCTTACGACAATTTCACGGACGCTGATAGATGATAGGAGATTCCTAGGTCAGAGATAAAAAAAAAAATTGTATTACAGCAAAATCAGCTGCCAAGAGTTTCGGCATGTTTGTATCAATTCCCTGAGCCCCAGCTCCTATAGGGATGATGCAGGTGGTCCTAGATGTATACCTACGTATACAAGAGAGGAACCCAAAGCCAGGGAAATGAACTGCTTTACAGCAGCCTGTAAGGAAGCCTGCTCTTTGTCCCAAAAGGACACATTATTCTCTCCCCGCAGATTGTTCCCTGCAAATACAGTCCTGAGAAATGCCCAGGGAAAAAAGTGGTCGGGGCCTTGCATTCTTGGCATGTTCAGCAAGACCTATAGGAATCTGATAAAACCATGGAGGAGTGATTTTCAACACTGTTGTTACACATCTGCTCCCATTTCGTAGATGAGGAAACCAAGACTTAAAAAGATTAAGTAACTTGTCTGATGTCCCACACCCAGTAAGTGGTGGAGTAAGGATTTGTGTCTGGATAGGCTACACCCAGAGCTGTAGCTCATCCACTACTTTTTGACATAAATTCATTCGCAAATCAGGGAGCAAAAAGTATATGTCCCCATTTTGGGTTTTAAAAGCCAAATATTGTGGGTATGATTCAAATCGTTGCTACATTGTGGTCCTAAATAAGTATATTGCTTTTCTGAATACTGAAAGGTCTGCTTGATGCTCCTTCGGTATTATTTCCTCATGTGCTTAGGATGTTTCCCAGAGTGTGTTTCTGTTAGCTGATGTTACCTATTCAAATACGTCTGGGAAACTGTAGCTTGAACAGAGTTGGGGGTTGAGGCCTTATGGGTTTTGTTTTTCTTCTACACAACCCTCTTGAACCTTTAAGTAGGCTAAGTGGCGTTACGACTCTCTCAGAAGGGAATATAGGGAGCAGCTAGAGCATGGAGCATTTCCTGAGCTCACTTGCTGTGTAACGTTTATTAACAGTAGAGATGTGTGTGTGGGAAGGGGGTAGTTCTGAAAGAGTGACCATTGTCCCCATTGCACTGCAGACATTTCCTGTCTTTGAGGGCTAAGACATTGAGTTGCAGAGCTGCTGCTCTGTCTTCTCTGTGGCCGGTCATTTTCAAGGTGTCAGAATGTCTGATGTTCTCCATACCCTGGAAGACCCACTTTTGACCTCTGCTGACTGCTGACACTTTCTCTATTATGGCAGCTTCACTTCTAATCTTCACAGCTTCTGATGTTTGCCTGTCTTTTGAAAGTTTCCTTTCCCTCCGCACCCCCACAACGCGCCCCTCCCCACCCCGCACAAATGCTTTCCTCCTTCTTTTCTTTTTATATTCAGCTACTTCTCTCATGCTTCCTGTGCTTCACAAAAAAGACTGACGTTTTACAAACCACAGCTACCAATCAGGACACTTCTTCCTTCCGGTTGGCAGGCTTAGCATAAATGGTATAACTGCTCAGTTCTTTGGATCTCAACTTGACTTTTTATGTTGTTGTTGAGTTCTCAGTCGCACTTTTTTTTTTTTTTTTTGCCATCAAAATTTGTACTTCGGTTTATTTGTTTGCTCTCTTTTTGAGACATCGTTTACTTGTTGATGTTGGAAAACTGGTCTCCTGATAACCAAGGTTTTACCATAGTAAGAAGTAGAAAACACAGTCATGGAGCTCATAGTCAGCTTTAGTTGTTACTAACAGAGTTTTGTCTAAGAGATGTATTTGTTTGTTTAAAGTGATCAGAAAGCTGGTTTACTTAATTCTCATGAGATCCATGTTAAGAATACTGTTTATTATATAACTTACTAGCCTTTTGATGAGGACTCTGGGAGAAAAACTTTCTTTTGATTTGACTTGTTAGGATGTTTGTTTCTGCTGAATAATTGGTTTGTATTAATCTCTTGGACACTGCATGTCCTTTAATTGTCATGTCTTCCACTTTACATTGGCCAAGTGAACATTGTGACAACATGAAATAAATGCATGTTAATTAGCCTTATTTCTGGTTCCATTTTAAGTGCTTGTGTTTCTTTTTTTTCTTACCTACCTTTAGTTTAGTGTTAAGTGTCCTTATAAAATACCTTACAAATGTACTTAACTCTAGGATTTTTACTTATATCCACTTTCGCAATGATTTGTCTGGATGATCCTATTCACCTTGTTAGAAGTATGTACTTAGTGATGATTTCAGAGAAGCGCATTAAATAACTGCCTCATAAGTGACTGTTGGCGCCTTGCATTTATGTTGAGACGTGTCAGTAATTTAAGCGGTCGCTGATTTAATCAAGGCTAATTAAAATTACCTTTCTTTTTTTTTTAATTAAAATTGAGGCCTATTAATTAAAACATGGTTTTCTGGCTTACCTATGTTCTATACTATAGTTATTCAGTCTCTAACAGTAAGAGTTTTATTAGTAATAAGCTTACAGTGTTCATGGAGATACTTATTAGAATGTTTTAAAAGGAAAAATATATGGCAACTTTTTTTGATGTGAGTTTATAAGACATTACTTGAGCTAATTTGTTGTTTTCATTTTTTAATACCAAGTATAAGTACCATCCTTGCTGTGCCATCCTTACTGCATTTTTTTCTGCATCATCAGTAATCATCACTACCATAGTTAATATTAATCTAGCGATTACCAAATATGAGACACTGTTCTAAGCACATTATAGGAATTACCATTTAATCTTCACAACTGCCCTGTGAAATACATACTATTTTTGGAAATGAGAAAAGTAGGGCCCAGAGATGTTAGGAAACCTGCCAAGGGTTGCATGACTAGTGACAAGTGGAGCCTACAACGTGAACGCAAGTGTCTTACTTAAAAGCCTGTGTTCTTATCCGTCATTATATCTCTGTTTTGCCTCCTACTAAATGCTCATGTGTCGTGTTCAAAGTGTTATATGATGACAGGTTGTTAAAAACTGCCCTGCTGTGATCTCACTGAGTCATTTAGCATATCCCTATACCCATTGAATTTCATATCAACATGGATATAAAGTATAAGGAGTTAGGCTGGAGGTCAAGATCACATGTTGGTCAGTAGGTGATTCTTCTAATCAGAAAAGACTTTCCAGAAGAACTTTCACCAAATGACCAAGGCTGGGCCAACATTTTATGGCTTAATGATAGAAATAATGGTTTGGTTTACCTTCCCATAGTTCTGCTGGTTTAGGGCAGGAGACCAGACCAGGTTGGACTGACTGATAGGATACTTCAAGGATATTAAAATCATAACTATCGAGGATGTTGGGATTAATGCATAATGTTTTCATAGAAATTCTTGTCAAATTAAGCACTTTGGTACCCTGTGTGTCACTTGGCAAGCCCTCAGTAACTATTTGTTGACCTAAACAAAAAGCAAACACAAAAGTAGTCCTATTGTTATTTGATCGTGGGTATTTAGCTCCCTGGACTTGGTTTCCTCAACTGTAAAATGAGGACTTAGAATTCAATCTTTTCAGCTCTAAATGTCTGGTCAAATAAAGAATAAGCATATGGTTAAATCACGTTTTTCTCACCCTTCCAGCTCGAACAGATGGATTTGGAAGTCCGAGAGATACCACCTCAAAGTCGGGGAATGTACAGCAATAGAATGAGAAGCTACAAGCAAGAAATGGGAAAACTGGAAAAAGATTTTGTGAGTGAAATTCCGTCCTTTGTCATATTTGCCAGTCTTTAAACTGAATTTTGCTTCAGCCTTTTATCATTTCCTTCACACGTCTCTATCAGCATTAAGTGTGTTGTCTTCAGGAGCAGTACAAAAGACAAATGACACCTGTCATTGTTTGTGACTTGGAATCTAAAAATGCTTAGAGCTAGCTAATGTGGGAATTTAAAGGACATTGGATTCATGACTCACAAATATATCCAAATCATGTGGTTCTTTGAGTTTGGGTAGTATTTATTAGTATTTAAAATTTATTAGAATTTTGAAACCCAGTTTTGAGCCTTATAGAGTTTGCAGCCCTTAAGATGCATTGTTCGCGATGGACTTCAGGGGCTTATGAATGTCTTATGGTTACGTGGTTGTGTGCTTTGTGGTCCAGCCAACAATGGACCATGTGTACTGTGGTGGTCCCATGATGGAGCTGAAAATTTTCTATCACCTAGTGACATCATAGCCATCATAATGTCATAGCTCAACACATAACTCACGTTTGTGGTGATGGTGGGGTAGACCTACTGCCTTGTCAGCCGTGTGGCGGTGTAACACACACGGTTACGTACAATATATAATACTTGGTAATGATAATAAATTAGTGTGTTACTGGTTTATATATTTGCTGTGCTATATACTTTTTATTGTTATTTTAGAGTGTACTCTTTCTCATAGAACAAAGTTGACTGTACAACAGTGTGTTGTGCTCCACGGGCAGCAGCCTCATACATCTCGTGTTTACCGCATCTCGTGATCGCTTCATTTCTCTGTGCTTGATTTAACCTCGTGCTGTTTTGTTCATTATGGTGCCTAAGCAGACAAAATCCACTGCTAATGTTGCCAGTAAGAGGCCACATTGAGTGAATGACCTGGAAAGAAAATTAAAAGTGAAGGTGGAAAATTGGTGATGGTTATTGCTCACCAGTCAGGCATGCCCAATTCCACACTGTTATTATCTGCTTTATTGAAGACAGTGAGATTTAACAAAAATTAGAGAAAGGCTTATATCAGACATGGAGAAACTTCTAATGATCTGAATTGAAGACCAGACACAGAAGCATGTCCCTCTCGGCACCATGACGGTCACGGCCAAAGCAAAATGTTTGTAATGTCGAAAGATAAGGCTGGACCTGACTATGATGTTGAATTTACTGCTAGCTCTGGGTGGTTTCAACAATTCAGGAATCATTATTCATTACATAATGTGAAAATATGAGTCTGTGGGTGCTGATGTGAAGGCAACTGAAGAATTTTTGGAAACTCTAGATAAGCTGATTATGGAGGAAAATTACTTGCCACAGCAAATATTCAATATGAATGTATCTTCCCTATTCTGCAAACAAATGCCTGAAAGGACTTTCATCCATAAGGAGGCCAAGTCAATATCAGTTTCAAGACTTTTAAGGACAGTCTTGCTTGGGGGCAGTGTTGTAGGCTACAAATTGAAATCTTTTGTGATCTGGTACAGATCTGGTACAGACACGTCAATAAGCACATGTTGCTGGTGTACGACAGGAGCGGTAAGAAGTCATGGACAACTCAGCTCTTTTTCCGAGATGCCCCCCTGAGTTGCTCTGCCAGTGGAATGCAGAAGTACTGTTTGGAGAATAATATACCTTTCAAGATTTTGCTTATTGTTGATAATGCTCCTTTTACTGGTGATCTTCATCGCAATATTGAAGTAGTGTTTCTCCATCCAAACACCATCCAACCAATGGATCAGAGAGTTATAAAAGCTTCGAAGGCCTCCTACCTGAGGGGGACCTTTGCCCAGACTATTGCTGCAGCTGAGGAGGACACTGATGCACTTCTGGAATGACCGCAGTATCCATGCCTGCTTCAAGAACCTTGCTTGAGTTTAGGGGGACACCACCAAGAAGCACATGAATGGCATCTGGAAGAAGACATTCAAGAGATTTATCCATGACTTCAAAGGAATTGCCAAGGATGAAGAGGTGGCAAAAATCAACAAGGCTGTGGTCGATATGGCAAACAACTTGAACCTGGATATGGATGAGGATGACCTTGGGGAGCTCCTAGAGGTGGTTCCTAAGGAGTTGAGTAATGAGTTGTTGAAACTAGAACAGGAACTCGTAGCAGAAGAAGAGGCAAGAAAAAAAGAAACTGTGGAAGAAGAAAAAGAAGAACCCCCAAGAAAATTCACAGTGAAGGGTTTAGCAGAAGCTTTACAGACCTCAGCAAGCTCTTTTGAAAGTTTGAAAGCATGGTCCCAAACACTGAAAGGTTTTCAGTAATAGAGAGGAATGTTCATGGCGCATTATCTGCTTACAAGCAAATCTGCGACTGAAAGAAACAAATAAAGCAAACCGTCATGGACATACTTCTAAAAAGAGTGGCACCTCTCAAGAACAGCCTCAGGTGGGTCCTTCAAGAAGTTTTCCAGAAGAAGGCATTGTTATCGTAAAAGGTGACAGCTCCATATGTGTTATTGCCCCTGTAGACCTTCCAGTGGGACAAGATGTGGAAGTGAAGACAGAAATATCGATGACCCTCATCCTGTGTAGGCTTAGGCTAATATGTGTTTGTGTCTTAGTTTTTAACAAAATATTTAAAAAGTAAAAAAAAAAAAAAAAATTTAATAGAAAAAAGCTTATAGAATCAGGATATAAAGAAAATATTTTTATATAGTCATATGATTCATTTGTGTTTTAAACTAAGTGTTATTACAAAAGAGTCAAAAAGTTAAAAAAGTTAAAAGTTTATAAAGTTAAAAAGTTACTGTAAACTGAGGTTAATTTATTACTGAAGAAAAAAATATTTTTATAAATTTATTGTAGCCTAAATTGCAGTGTTTATAAAATATACAATAGTGTACAGTGATGTCCTAGGCCTTCACATTCTCTTACCGCTCACCTACTGACCCACCCAGAGCAGCTTCCAGTCCTGCAAGCACCATGCATTCTAGGTGCTCTATACACGTGTATCACTTTTTAAATCTTTTATACTGATTTTTTACTATAACTTTTATATGCTTAGATATGTTTAGATACACAAATGCCATTGTGTTATAATATTCAGTACAGTAACATGCTGTATAGGCTTGTAGCCTAGGAGCAAGAAACTAGACCATATATATAACCTAGGTGTGTACTAGGCTATGCCATTTGGGTTTGCATAAATGCAGTCTGTGATGTTCAATGACAAAATCACCTAGCAACGCATTTCTCAATGTGTCTCCATCATTAAGTGACATATGACTATCTCAGGATTTTTGGATATCTGTTTCTATGTACATTTTTTCCTGGGATAGTCTCCATAGACTTCATTAGAGTCTTAAAAGGATACATAACACTTCTCCCCGACAAAAGACAAAAGGAACTCAATTACTAATTTATATCAGCGATCCTTTTTATTGATTGCCCTGTGAGAATATAGCTTTCTCTTCCTATATATCTGACTTTCAGCTCTACTCCCTTTTTAACAAATTTAAGAAGGTAAATTTAAAGATATAATGTAAACATTATTAGTAGTTGGGAAGTAATAGGAGTCAAAAAGATAACAGCTGAGCAATTCCACATCTTGGCATATATATCTAAAAGGATTGAAAGCAGGGTCTCAAAGAGACACTTGCACACCTATCTACCAGATGTAATACCAAAGGTGGGAAGCAACTCAAGTGTCCATCGACAGATGCATGGATAAACAAAATATGGTGCATGCGTACTATGGAATATTTTTTAGCCTTAAGAATGAAGGACACCTAGGAAGACCAGGTCCTGTAGGCATTAAAAAGAAAAAAAAAGAATGAAGGAAATTCTGACATATGCTATAACATGGACGAACCTTGAGAACATTATGCTAAGTGAAATAAGCCAGTCACAAAAGACAAATACTGTATGATTCCATTATATGAGGTACCTAGAGCAAGTATATTTACAGAGACAGAAAATAGAATAATGGTGGTTGCCAGGGTCTGGAAGGAGAGGGAAGTGAGCGGTTACTGCTTAATGGGTATAGAGTTTCAGTCTTGCAAACAATTCTAGAGATTCGTTGCTCAACAATGGGAATATATTTAACAGTATTGAATTGTACACTTAAAAGTGGTTAAGACAGTAAATTTTATATTATGTGTATTTTACCACAGTTAAAAATTAAAATTGAAAAAAAAAGATACAGGTGAGGAAAGACCTAAACTTTACCTGTAAATGAAAGGAGACACGTGTTGGCATGTCAGTCAACGGTATTTTTGACCCTACGGTCTGAATTCATGAAGAAAGTCAAGAATTTATAAGGATCTTTCTGCCTCTGTTCCTGCCTCAGTTGTTCAGGTAGCTACACCTTCTAGATTATAATATATACCTTTCCACTACAAGGCCAATGGTTCCAGACCGGACCTGGTAGAAATTCCACCTTGGGCCTAGAAATAGGGTGATTTACAGGTTTGCATGTTTATTTTCTATCTTAATGGATATTTTCCTGAGACATTGAGATGGGCTGTGTCAGTGACTGTGAATGCCATTGCCTTTTAAATTGTGTTCCTCTTAATTAAAAAAAAAATTGGACTCCATAGTGGGCCTAAATTCAGAAACGAAATGTCACCGCCTAGCTTCCATGTTCTGTACTATATAAAACCGTCCCTAACTGCTTTGTGAAAGGTGGGGTCTCTCAGCAAGAATGTAAGATACGGTGAGGAAATTAGATCAATTTAAGAATTTCACAACTCAAATTTATACGGCGACAACTGTAAAGTTAATGATTCAATATAAATGATGAAAGTAAAATAAAACATAAGGATTATTTAGTTTGCTTATCTCATTTTCATGAAACTCTTTTCCAAAGATATTTCTCTTGGTTTCCAAAACAATGGAGTAAGTTAGTTTTCTAGGGCTTCCATTACAATGCAACAGAATGGGTGGCTTAAACAGCAAAATTTATTTTCTCACAGTTCTGGAGGCTGGAAGTCTGAGATGAAGGTGTCAGCAGGGCTGGTTTCTAATGAGATCTCTCTCCTTGGCTTA